TTATCATGTTATAAAGTTGAGTTTTTAATATATTGAGATAGATAATTAAATATTAGGTTTATTGAATACTTAAATTTCATTAAATTGTGCTAATTGGAGGAAGTAAGACTTATCTTTAGTTTTGAACTTTAAGATTGATTATAGAATTAGGTGGATTGATGGGTATAGGCTAGACACAGAATAATCGAATTATTTATGGTCTTGTTAACTTACACCTTATGTATATATAGGTTATAGCTTATTTCTTTTTGATAGATAAACTCTCAATAGAGATTGATATGTATTAAGTGATATTGTAAAGCCTCCAATCTACTTGATTGTGTGGTTGTATGTCTTGATTGTATGGTTTGTGGTTGGCCTAAAGTTATGAGACTGTTGAATTTCTAATCTTGAATCCTCTCTATTAAAATGAAGCCTTGAATAAAGAAGGCTTGATGAAATAAAATAATGAGATAATTGGATTTTGGAGTGTCACGTTCCGACACGGTATTATTGAATCGGAGTGTCACGTTCCGACACGTTATTATGGGATCGGAGTGTCACGTTCTAACACGGTATATGGGATCAGAGTGTCACGTTCCGACACAATAACATTAACGGAAAGGAATCTTGAAGTAACTTAATATACTTAATCTCAAAAAACCTATTCTCCAAATTAGTATAGTGTGGAGGCATGAGTCCTCATAGGTGTGCTTGATGTTGTGATTGATGGTGTACCTATTATGGTGTTGTTGTCAATGGTTCATGTGTTTGTTGCTTTCCACCTGTTAAGTATTGTAGTTGATTTTATATTATTATTCAATATATATTGATTTCTATTTTGAGCTGGCTGATAATACCTACTCAGTACGTGTTCCTTGTATTGACCCCTACTTGTAGTTTCTTCTCTGTTCTTTCATGGAGTGCAGCAAGTGTACCATCGACTTCTGTTTTATCGAAAAATGATTTTTTCGAAAAGAGTTTGTTTTGTTTTAGAGATATTTCAACGTTTTTAGGAGTCGCCACTCAATTTTTTGAGAAAAATCAAGAAAACTTATTTCCAAAACAACCTAAACAAAAAAATTGTTTTGAAAATATTTTAGGGGGTTCGAGATTCTTATTAGTGTTTTAGGAAGGTGTAAGGCACCTAAGACACTCCGCTAACTTACGGTTTTCCGGTGATTAACTTATTTGACTATTTTGTTTTAACTTTTACAATTTTTGAAGTTGAACTTATTTTATTTAAACAAATTTACAAGTTTTGCAACGTTTATTGTTTTAGGATTCCGTTAAAGTTAAACTTTTTTAAACTTTAATTCTAAACGACTTTTAAATTCGAACATCTTCAAAGTTTCAATTTTTAGTTTCGAGTCGGATAAAGCAAAAGGCGTTTGATGGGGGTTTGGAGTTATTCTAACCCTAGACTAAAAGGCATTTAAAGCAAAAATATAAACAAGTAGTAAAGCGGAACAGAGAGAGGGAGAGAGAGAGAGAGGGAGAGATTTGGGTCCAACTTCGGTTCTGTTTGCCTTGACCAAATGTTGGACCCACCTGCTTTTGGGTTTTTAACCCATTTTCTCTTTCGTACCTGTCCTAGTCTAAACATACAAATAAAATTCAAGAAAGTAAAACAACAAGGGCTTATGCCCATTACAAAATAAAAATACAAAATAATAAAGAAAAGTCTTTTAATATGACGCCTTCGAATTTCTTCAATCTTCTTGGAATTTGACTTAATGCGCCTGTCTTGACGGATTGACTCGATAAAATTTTTCCGAGCCTTCATGGCTCTTCCGAGATGCATGGAGAAGAATGGAGTCCCAAAGTGGACTCGCGAGGAATTTTCACATGCGACAAAAACAAAAGAATGAAAATTGGCACTTTAACCAAATAACTGAAATAAACACAACTTTTTTTAAAAAAAATATGAAGAAAGGAAAGATATACAGCATTTCCAAATGCATCTCGATATACAAGCATAACAAAGGCTTCTTTAACATGCGACACTACACAAATGTTCACGAGAATAACAGAACCAACATCCCGACGATTTTAATGATGCTTAAGGCTATATAAATCATTTCAACCTAAATGATGCCACACAACAATACATTAAGATATACAAGCATAATAAAGAGGAATGAGCTAGAACATGTGGAAAATCATCTTAGGAAGCGAAAATACAGATACTAATTTCCAAAAGACTACGATGACAGAACTTAGAATCAAAACACATCATGCGAGCTCAACTTGCCCACAACGATGGCTGTTTCATAATTTAAAAAAGTAACTAAGTAAACGGTGACAGATTGAACATAACAATTCGAATCAGAGAGTTAATCCAAATACCAAACTAATCATAGAAATGACTTCACACAATCACATTAGGCTACAACAACACCTAATATAATCATATCCCCCAACGATGACTAAAAGGCAACGAAGAGACGGTGAACTACTTCGAAGAGAAAGGGCGATAGCAATGACACCATGACGAACTTGGAAAAGAAAAAACAGATATTAACACAAGCAGGCAAGCACAACAAAATAAGCCATCGTACGCGATATTCTCGGGTTCGAGCAAAACCAACAGATATGCCATCTACACAGGTCACATTTTGAGTTCCATGAAAACTAATCGAAGTGGGAAACGTACCTTCTTCGGAGCAGCGAACGGGAGTCGACGAGAGAGCGTAGGAAGAAAAACGACGTTGTCGCGACCTTGGAACCACCCCTCTGCCTCGAATGCTCGAACTAGAGTTTCGCTCAAGTCTTCTCAAAGATACACTAAGGTGCTGGCAAACTTCCCAAGAAAAGAAAGAGAATCCCCAGAAACCTCCCAAAATTCCTCTTGTTTGCCTTTCAATCCTCTCCCCATTTCTTGCAAAAGTAATACAGAAAGAAACCAAAACTTCCCAGACAATGACTCGACTGTTCTTCTAAACTTTCAAGGAAGATTCCGACTCTGTAAAAATTTCTCAACCCAAAAACCTCCAACCCCCTTTTCTGAAGGCGGAAAGGGGGGGGTTTTATAGAAGATTTTAGGGTTTCGACTTTTTTTGGGGGGGTGGGTAATACGATTTTCCTCCCTTTCAAATTCGAAATTTGAAATCTTATCCAAGAGGACGATTCCAACGGAAAGGGAGATGGAGGGATGAGATCAATCGTGGTACTGGAGGGTCGACGTGGAGCAATCTCGCCACCAACGACAAAATTTCCCAGCTTTCTCGGCTGCCAGGCCTGCGCGAGCGTACTATCGTACGAGTCGCGTGCGAGAGAGGAGGAGAGAGGGGGAGAGAGCGTGGGAAGACGCAGGGGGCTTTTCGTTTGCAGGGGGATTGCGTGGGCGTTGGGAAAGAAGGAAGGGGGAGAGGGAAGGGGAGGCGCGCGTGGGTTTCTGCTGGGAGGTCGCGTGAGGGGGGTTTCCGCTTTTGGGATTTGAAGGCTTCTGTTTTTTTTTGGGGTTGTTTCGCTGTTCTGGGAATCAACTTGGGGGGAAGGGGATGAAGAAGGAAAGGGGCCGGGTCAAACGGGTGCTGGGTCGAGTAGGATTAAGTTTAGTGGGTTGAAGATTTAAAGTGGAAGAGGGGTTTTGGGCTGCTGATTTTAAGTGGGTTGGGTTGAAAAGAGTTGGAAAGAAATGGAGTGGGCTGCTGAAGAGGATTGGATTGGGTTGAGGGGGATGGGCCGCCTGGGAATTGTTTGGGTTGGGAATTGTTTGGGTTGCTTGAAAGGGTGGGCTGCTGAAACTTGTTGGGCTTGGGAATTTGGATTTGGGAGGGGAAACTTGGGCCTGGGGTTAATTGGGAGGGAATTAGATTAATTAAATAAATAACCAATGACGAATTTTGCATTAACCAATTAACGAGCCCTTTTTATTTAGTAAAATAATTATTAAAATCGTAAAAAGTGATTCAAAAGTATAATTATAATTAAAATCAAACTAGTTTAATAAAACATTTAAATGTATATTTTGATGATTTTTGGAATAATCATAAGATATACTACTTGTATACATAATATATTATCGAAAATTATGTATTATGTTATATTTGTAAAATTTATAAAACTAATTAATTTAAATTATTTAGAAAATTTAGAAAGCTCGATAATTAATTCATACCGACGCGGGTCAAAATGGGGTGTCAACAACTTCAACTCGCCCTCAGAGTTCAGGGTGAGCTATTAATTATATCTCGTACTAGATTCTCTCATTCACATCTTGATGTCTTTGAATTTCGGACATGGGCCATCTTTTTGCTTATTTTGGTTTCTTAAACACTTCTAGACTTTGTAATTTGAAAATAGATGTCCTTGACGTGATGACTATCAGATTTTGGGATAATAAGTATTAAACTTTAGAAACTTATTTAAATTGGTTACTTAATAAATTTTGGAGTTTCCGCATTATTTATATTATTTATAGTTGAACTATTAGTATATGTTTGAGTTTATATGTGTTGGTTCGCCCACCTAGGGAGGTAAGTGTGGGTGCCACTCACGACTCATTTTGGGTCGTGACAATATTTGTCATGATGGTCATGTCAAGGTACAGTTGGAGAATCAGTCAGTTGAAGAGTCCATTATTGAAAATAGTTTTGGTGTTAGTTGAATTACATACAACAACAATTATCACTAGAGTAGTGAGATGGACCCATTTAAGCCATTGGATGGGAGGAGGTATAGATCTCCAATTGGTTGGTTTAATATTCTGATATAAGACCTTGGGTACTACTATTTTGAATGAATTGTTGAGACAAGTACCCTTTCTTGTCTTGTCTTCCTTTGATCGTTCAAGGACGAACAATGGGTAAATTGGTATCTATTGTAACGACCCTTTTGGTCGTTTTCAGTGCTAAAGTCTTGTATTTTTTAAAATACTTTTAGATAGATTATAACGGGTATTTTGGACTATTGGTGACTACATTTATGAATTAGCGGGCCAGTTTTAAATATTAATTTAGTTAGTAATTAGAGAAGATACCACTAAAATTAGTAGTGGGTCACTTTATTTATTTATTTATTTAAAAAAATTGATTATATAATAATTAGGTGATAATAATCTGTAAAAAGAGAGAGAGAGAGAGAGGAGAAGAGGAGAACAATGGAGCGGCGTTGAACGAAAGGAAATTGGAGCGGCTAACCTTTCCGGTAAAAATACTCATCCAAGATACCGATCATTATTCATACATATAATTGGTTAATTAGTGAGTACAAGTCAATATTATACTGTCATCGTTTTATTGTTTCAATTGTGAAAGAAAACTGAGAAAAACCATGTTAGTTATATTAATTAGAAGGAGAAGGAAATTTGTTAAAGGCAGACTCATGGTTATTGTGTGAAAGTGGGGGAATCTACATTAAATGAAAATGATGACATAATGATTAAGGTAATGATTGACTAATAAGGTTATAAAATTTGTTTATACTATACGATGCAGGTAATGATTGACTAATAAGGTTCCATCTTTCCCTAATCTTAATTTGTTTTATCTTCTTACAAATTGATTTTAGTATATTGAGATAGTTAATTAAATATTAAGTATAGTATATTATTGAATGTCATTAAGTAAGTTATTTGGATGGACCTCAAGATTAGGAACTTGAGTATAAATTTGTGTTTACTGATTATGGGTCTAGGTTAGACATAAAATAATAAGAGTGTTTATAAAGTTGTTAACTTACAAGTTATGCACATATACTTGATAGATTGGAAGGGTTCGGAGGCATTGAGGAAAGAAAAAGTACTGCAGAAGTAACTTGCTTGACTTCGGTTCTTTGGTGGAGGTATGTTATGGTTTATGCTATTTGATAGTAAACTCTTAATAGTGACTGATATGCATTAAATGATATTGTGAAGTTTTCTATGTACTTGATTGTGTGATTGTCTGGCTTGGTCGTGTGTTTTGTAATTGGTTTGAAATCCCGAGACCGTGGAATGTGTAATCTTAAACCATCTCTATCGAAGTAATGCCTTGAATAAAGTTTGTTCGATAAAATATTATTAACGAATAAAAAAGTGGTGATATTAAATGATAAATTAATGGTATTATTGGATCGGAGTGTCACGTTCCAATACAGTATTCTTGGATCAGAGTGTCACGTTCCGACACGCTAATTTTGGATCGGAGTATCACGTTTCGACACGATATTCTTGGATCAGAGTGTCACATTTCGACACGGTATTCTTGGATCGGAGTGTCACGTTCCGACACGATAATATTAATGGAAAAACATGTTGAATTAATGGAAGATACTTAATCTCAAAGAACTCAACTCCCAAAATGGTTTGGTTTGAAGGCATGAGTCCTCATGTGTGATCTTGATACTGTTGACTTAATACGTGCTTACTTTATTGCTATTGACACTTGTTCATGTTGTTTGTTTCTTATCACATGTTAACTGCTATAGTTGAGTTCATAATATTATTCTTTGTGTATTAGTTACTATTTTGAGTTGACCGATGATACTTACTCAGTACATGTTGCCTCGTATTAAGCCCTACTTGTTTCTTCTTTGTTTTCCTTTAATAAAATGCAGCGAGTGTACCTATGACTACTGATTTTTCTCAGTTTTAGCCAGTCTCCCGCATATCAAGTTCCAGGGGGAGCTATCCATTCAAGCTCGTGTTGGGTTCCTCGGTCATGACATGATGTCCTATCATTTCGGACATATACCATTTTATTATTTTATTTTGGTGTATTTGATATTCTTAGACTTAGTATTGGAGATTAAATGTCCTTGATGTAATGACTTTCAGATTTTGGGAAATGATATTTAGTAACATTTGAGTTTCCGCGTTATGCTTGTATTTTGTAAGTTAGGTTAAATTGGTTGGTTCGCCCACTTAAAAGGTTAAGTGTGGGTGTCACTCACGACTCGTTTTGGGTCGTGACAGTTAAATTATATAAACTTTCACCCATATTATATTTAATATGTATTTTTTTTAATCATATTAATGTGAGAAACTTTGAATCTTATAGTATTTTTCGTACATATTTCAAAATATTTAAATTTTAATTTTAAAATAGTGAATAAATCTAATTCATTTTAGTGTTGACAATAGTTAAATTAACCATAAAAAGGTAAAATATGATTAAAAAAAATGAATGGAAGCAGTAATTAGTAGATGTTATAGGTCGAATATATGAAACTCATTGATGTAGATTATAACACATGATATCAAAATTTATCAAATATTGAGTAAGAAATATTTTAATAAAGAGATTCCAAAGTAGTTCTCAACCAAATGAATACATCAATTATTTAGTAATTGAAATAAAGTATGAGACTCCTTGATTTATCAAAATGTCAAGATTTAAATGTTGAGTAAGAATAAATAAAGAAATTATAAAGTAGTTCTCAATTAAAACAATACATACCTTAATTTGGCCGTAAGTATGAATTCATTAAGTTTTATCAAAATAAAATATTTAATATCACATGAATTTCTCAAGATAAAGTATGAAAGATGAAATTAAAATAAAATACTGTAAATCTGCGAAGTAAAAACTGATATTATTTCTTTGAGTTATAACACGTAATCCTACCCCAATTAGTATAAAATAATATTAAAAAATATAAAGAATATATTTAAACAAACTTAATATACACATCATACAATTTTTTTTACTTTTTTTGTGTGTGTGTAAAATTAGACATTTTAACCTTTAGGCATAAACTAAACGACTTGCAAAAGTGAAGCTTCACAATCACAAAAAACAAATAAGGAATATTAAAGAACATAAAGAAACAAAAACATAAGACATTGAATATATTAATTGTTCAATTTGATTGGATTATAATTAGATTCAATATTCACCTATGAAAAATGAGCAAAACGGATATAAAATGTAAAATCTAAAATGTGTCAATTATTCAATTTAAATAATAATGACTTTTGAGCTTTCTAAATTAATGCAAGTAATATATAATTTTGTAGGTTTTTAAATAAATTATATAATGTAAAAAATTAAGAAAATGTTAAAAATTGTCATTCTTTGCTTTAGAAGCATGCCACATCACCTCTCCTACGATAACATTATAAGAAGAAAGCTAAAAAAAGAAAATCAAACAACACATTTGTAGTTTACTTTTTTGTACATATAATTTAAAAAAAAACTTTATATTCAAAATTCGTGATGAACTTCAAATAACAAACTACTTATACAAAATAACAAAAAATCTTAAGTACTTCAACTAATATATATAAAATTAGGGAAGCAACATTAAACTTGTTACTCATCAAGTGGAGGATAAAAACATTTCTTTAGTCTCGAATCTTGATTATCTTGCGCTCCTCTAACATGCTCCTTTGAACATATACCTGCGAAATAAGAAGTTCGACTCCATATGTTAGAACCAATCAGTACATGTAAAAAATAAAAATGAAAATTTGAAAAGAAAACATTAAAACAAAAATATTTAACCATAATATCCTAAATCATTGAGATGATAGCAATTTTTGTCATATGTAACATGTATTTCTGATACTTATATAATGATAGATGATGTCATGAGAATTAAACACAAGAAAAAAAGATCATTTTATTTTGTAGAGTAGTCCTTTAGGGGGGTTATTAGAGGATTAATGATAGTCTTTTGAGTTTCATAAACTGATTTTTTATAATGAGAAATAAAGAAGAGTTAATAAGGGAGGTGTAATTAAAAAATATAATTTTAAAGTGATTTTTAACCTAGCATATAAATAAATAATAAATTTTTAATTTTTTTTAAAAAAAAGATATAATTTTTTTAATGGTGGCCATTGAGATTGAGATTTTTCACATCACCTAATTTTTTATTATTATATATATAAATTTTTTATTTTTAAAAAATAATAAAAATAGAAGGTATATTAATAATAATAAAAACTAAAAAAAATTATAATAATATAAACTTAAAAATAATAGGTAGAAAACAAACATTAGGAAAAAATATTATAAAAATATTTTTTTACGTTTGAGGCAATATGATAGCCTTTTGGAATTCCTTAATTTAGAGAATGTGTAATTCTCATTAAATAACTAATTAATAGTAAAATATATATACACATAATATTATTGTGTAAGAAATAATTTAAAAATCCCTAAATTTTTTTAAAATAGAAAAATATTTTTCTGATCATTGGGGCATGCCACATAGGCAGAACAAAAATCCTCATATATATATATATATATATATATATATATATATAATGTAGAATAAGTATAAAGAACTTATTGTCAACCTCTTTCAGATATGAATCTGTGCAGAATCTCCAATATTGACCTCAAAATAATCTTCATCATCCGTTTTGGCAAAAACAAAGTTGAGGTTCATATTGATGAGAATGCCATTAGCATTTACCAAGATTACTTGAACTTTTGGCTCTTGAAGGCTTTCTTGTACTGCTACTTATAGCTCTTACGTAGTTCTCTTTGGAAATTTGTTGGGTATATGACCATTAAATTTAAGGATTTTAAAATTGAAATTTTGTTTCATTTGTTAAATAATTCACCTTGCAAGTTCAAGGGCGTAAGTTGTTCATGTGTTGAATTAATTGAAGAGAAATATAATTATTTATAGTCAATGAGTTACTCTATCCTTTCTCTATATCACTCATTTTTTGTCACTATCTTCCTTACTTTTGCGGAATAAATATTTGTAATAGTAATTTATAAATACAGAGGAACAAGTTAATTTTCGCTCGCATGATATTTTTCATCACCCTATTATTTTTTTGTTTTCCCTTTATTTGTATATTGCCCTTTTAGATGCATTTATTTGTTGCAACATATAATTTTTGGCTTATATTGTTTTTTTTTTCTTCCATACTGTTAATGTTTCACAAATGATTATGTCGTATTTCATAATTCGAATTATATGCATATAACTTGACAAAAAATTCTTTTGTCAAAATTTACAAATGACAAAATTAGTGACTTTCAATGAGCCAAAGAAGACGAAGGGTACATGTACATATAATTATTATTTATATAAGTCAATTAAATATTTAAACATGATCATTTTTTATAATAAATAAATATTTTTATTTTGTAGGTGTAGACTATGAAATTGATAATGATTTACTAGACATCCTAAAGAAGACATATGTTGATAGGATTTCTCTACAACTATTACAAAATACCACTCTCCTTCGATGACAAGTTCTCGATATGTATGCTTCTGTAAAAAATGAAGGATATTATTATTCCTTAAAAAAAAGGCGGAAGCTTTTTAGGCATTAAACATTTTGCAACTATAATGTCGACCTTTCAATTGTGTGTTGTAACATGTAAAAAACATATAACAAGTTGAATACTTGATATATTATAAGAATTGTATAATTAAAGTCGTTATAGTATTAGCTTTCAAATTCACCTTAGAACAATTTTTTGTATGATGTGTCTTGCAAAAATTATAATATCAGTTCAATATGCTTATTGTTCATTGATTCGAGTTTGTAATTTAAACGTGGTGCACTTATATTTTATAGGTATTTATACTAATTAGCATTGTAACACGTGCAATGCACGTGTTCGATAACTAGTTATATAATCATATATACATGAATTACTTTAAAATAAAAGCTATAACATTCCAGATTATTATATTTCAAAAAATGTCATTCGTTAAGAAATTATAACGAGGTTGTTGGGTTTTAAAAGGTGTGAGTGAAAATTATGAAGAGTTGCGACTTTTATAAAGAGTTGCGACTATTATGAAAAGTTGCGATTTTTCTGAAGAGTTGTGATTTTCATGAAAGGTTGTGACTTTTATGAAATAGTGACCTTTTCAGTAAGGCACAATATGAATCTTTTCACACGACCCTTTGTCTTCTATAAATTGAGGGATTTGCTCTCATTTTAAAGGAACGATTTTTTTTCACTTCTTCTACTATTACTAAATCTAGTATCGTTGAGTGATTCGTTGACATCGTGATTTTAGGTATCGATACACCGCGAGTACGATCGTGCTATCATGGGAGGATATATTCTATTAACTCGGGTACTTAAGGGGAATAATTTCCTTAACGGGACAATGTACATTCAGTGGGCTCAATTTTCTTTCTTTCAGAAAAATATTTTTATATTGTTTCTAATTTGTTTCTGGTTTTAATTTTTCTACTAGTTTTAATTTTCTAGTTTTGAAAATAATCTTAGGAAAATGCACACAAGTAACCCCCTCCCCAACTTATGCGCGAAATTCCAGAGACATATTTGTACTTTACTAAGGTCCTATTACACCCTGAAACTTATTTTATAAATAATTTTCTACCCCTTTTGGCATACATGACACTATAATTGAAAAATTGTCAACACGCGCTGGAATAGTATCATGTAAGCCGAAAAGGGATAGAAAATTATTGATAAAATAAGTTCAGAGGATAATACGACCATAAGTGTGTCTCTGAGATTTCAGGTATAGTTCAGGGGGGGGGTACTTATGCATTTTCCCAAAAATCTTTAAGCTTTGTTATTTCTTACCAAGTTCTTCAAAGTTTTGTTATAAGTATCTTAAGGATACAAGATGAACAACAATCTTAAGGAAATTAGTATTATACTATTGGTATTTCTTGTATTCTACTAATTTAGGGAAACAGATTAATGCACTACTTCTCCAGAATTTGGTGCATTGTTTAGCAAGGTTGAAGTGAGAGTGTACTAGAAGAATTGATCATATTTTGGTTAAAGATTACATTAGGTAACCTTCTTTATTATTTATTTGAGGAAAATAATTTCTAAAAGTTAATAGTTTTGATATTTATCATGTATGTCTTTGGAAAAAGATGCAAACCATGTGGTTTATGAATGA